TCGTGAATTCCAATTACTTCACTTCCTTTTTATAATTTTCTCATTTCCTTTGCGATTGATATAGATATGTATAACTGTGCACGCACACACACACGCACACACATACACACACACACACACAATCAAACATACATTCACACACACACACATACATGCATGTGTGTGTGTGTGTGTGAACCGAGTCTTGAGGTTTCTTAGAACAAGCATATTCCATCCACCTTATCTCCTGTGCGGATCTGCAAGCATTGAAGAACAACCCTTATGACAAAGCGTATAAACGACGTATCTCTAACAGTCACGACTTCTCGAAAATAATGAAGAGAATGCCAGGTTGTCCGCATAAGCCACGATACCGAGATCTTGTCTTGGAAAAGTACATATTGCTTCCCTTTTTTTTGTATTTTTGTTGTGTTTTTTTGGGGGGACGACGACATTGCAAAAAAAAAAGTGTGAATGTACCGTGTAATGATATCCAGATGGAAAGTTCTTTTTGTATTCTTGGTGGTTGTGACTGATGGTCCTCTTGTGATATTTTTTTTCCTTTCTTTTTTTTGGGGGGGGGCGTTTGTACATATATACATCCTTACATTGTTAGAGTGTATTTATGCGTATTTCTGTGTTTGGATGTGTATCTATCTCTCTCTCTCTCTATATATATATAGAGAGAGAGACATACCTTTATACATATGTATATATTGTATGTGTATATATGTATATGTGTGTGTGTGTGCGCGTGTGTGTGTATAGATTGTATGTGTATATGTGTGTATATGTTTATATATATGTATGTATATGTATATATAACTACATATATATATATATACATATATGTCAATATATACATATATATGTAAATATGTATGTATGTATGTATGCAAGCATGTATATATACGCAGAATCACTGCAGCTGAACTCATGTGAGAAAACAGCGTAAAATTGCGGTCGTTTCAGTTATACATTTACAACGGTAAGGTGAACTCTTTCACGAGTAGTTAGTTGTTTCACGCAATTTAGTCAGTCTTGCCAAATCACGAAAAAATAAGGGGAAACATGACCGCCCCTAAACCGAGGTGGAAATAACACACACACACACACACACACACAATGTTGCCAGTCGAAACAACAATTTCTACCTTTCTTAATATTTGAGTTACGGTCTGATTTCTGGTCAATAATTTCTCCCGCCGAATTTATCATTGAAGAAAAAAAACGTTGAGATATTAGAAACGAACTACAGGTAAATAAGGAGATAAAGAGATGATTAATGTGAGAAAATATTCGCACTGTTTCCGATATGATCCCACGACGAGTCAAAACCCGTACGCCCACCGTACGCTGTGTTCGAACCCGCTCGGCGCTTTATTTCATATAAAATCGATAAAAAAATATAAATCACATTCAAATAAGTGCTCAGTTTGCATCTATCTCTCACTCCGTTGAGACATACACATAACAGGCTCCACATCTCCCACTTCAATTTCCAAGGAGATATTAACTCCACAAGACTTTTGTTCGTTGTATCTGGGTCAGTCGTCAGGGCCCGACACGCTGGACTCACTCGATATAAAAGTGTTTAATCTTTTCTCTCGGGAAATTGGTCAGTCGAATAATACCTTCGTAATGGCTGATGGTGTTCTCCGCCGGTAACGTTGAAGCCAGACGTGAAGGGGCTATGTGAAAGATTTTTTTTCAGATTAGGGTCACGATCATTTATATATGTGTGTGTGCGCGCGCGCAAACATTGTATATATATACATAGATGTGTGTGTGTGTGCGCGCGCATACATTATACATATATATATAGATGTGTGTGCATGCGCGCGCGCATATATATACATATATAGATATATATGTGTGTGTGTGTGTGCGCGCATACATTATACATATATACATAGATGTGTGTGCACGCGCGCGCGCATATATATACATATATATAGATATATATGTGTGTGTGTGCGTGCATGTTTACATACATTATACATATATACATAGATATATATGTGTGTGTGTGTATTATACATATATACATAGATATATGAAAAGGAAAACAGCCACGGTAAGAAGTGAATATGATATATATATGTGTGTGTGTGCATACATTATATATATATATATACATATGTGTGTGTGTGTGTGTGTGTGTGTGTATGATACATTGTACATATATACATATATATGTGTGTGTGTGTGTGTGTGTGCATGTCAGGTATATTACCTTTAGTGTTCTCCAAGGACCTGAATAAGGACTTGAACTCATTTCTCTTTTATGTCATCAATTAAGAAGAGAAAGCATGGAGATCGAAGAGCCAGTGACCTAATCGCTGTAGCAGCAGGTAAATTACGAACACAATCCCCATGGCCCCCCCATATATGGCACACAAAACCCGAATCAGATTGGGCCTCCGTGGAACGAATCTTTTCAGTGAGACACCCGAGGCCCAATCCATCAAGGGATTGTGACCTGCGACCTACGACCTGCATCCCGCGTCCACGAGAGAGGAAGTACAGGTCGTGGATAATAAGGGGGGAGGAAAGGAAGGAAATG